GTATAAGTGAGGGCCGTTGCCCCATATCGTCAGAATTGAGGCAAAATAATCATCGCCAAAAATGCCTTCTGACATCCGGTCCTTCTTCGCGCCAAAGGGTGGTGCACCCCCGAAGCCTGCAGCCAAAAAGGCAGAGGAACCGGCCAAAACCAAGCGCACCAGTAGGTTCCAATGTTCTTTATTTTTTTCCATCATACTGACAAAAAATAGAGGGCCGCCGAGTTGTTGAGGATAGCGAGGATGAAGAAGATGAAGTCGTTGAGTATGTATTTCTGTTATCTTGCACTTCGTTTGCTGACTCCGAACTAGAGTGAAGAAACCAGCCAAGCCAGCATCCAAGAAGAAGACAAAGTGTGTTTTCCCACCTGAAACCCCCAATTGCCTCTATTCTGACTCAATTCAGGGATGAGCCAACGGGTGTAGCTATCTCCGCCGACGATTACTTTGCATCAACAAAGAGCAGCAAACCTTCGAGTTCAGCGACTCCCAAAAAACCTGCAGCCAAGTCTGACGTCCCGATACGTGCGAGCCCTCGAGGCAAACCTGCAACCGCGAAGCCTGCAGCACCTGCCAAAAATGGCACAGTTCCCGCCAAACGAAAGACAACGACCTCCTATTCTCACCATGCGGTTGATGATGATGCCGACGCTTACATGGATGATGGTGAGGAAGAAGATGACGATATCTTTGCTGCCGATGCCAAGGGTCGCAGTAAGCGGAAGAACGATGACTATGAGGAGGATGAATCGGAGGAGGAGGAGCTCCCCAAGCCCAAGCGGGTAGCTACACGGGGGCGTCCATCTGCAGCCAAGGACAACGACGTGAAGGCGACCAAGGCTGCACCCGCAAGCAAGAAGAGAAAGTCTCCCGTTGACGGTTCTGATGAGTCTGAGGATGAGATTCCACGCAAGAAGGCAGCTCCTGCCAAGCCACGAGCACCTCGTACAACCAAGAAGAAGGATGAACCTGAGGACACCGAGATTCAAGATATTCTCAACAGCGTCGCTACTGTCCGAGCCCCTACACCACCACCCAAGGATCCTAATGCCAAGTTTGACTGGCGAAAGAATGCATTTGGAGGTGGCAATGCAACTGCTCCACCGACGTCGGGAGGGGTTGAACTTCCCGAGGGCGAAGATGAGTGTCTCTCTGGTCTGAGCTTTGTTTTCACCGGTGTCTTGCAGACCATCGGCCGTGACGAAGGCCAGGCATTGGTCAAGAGGTATGGCGGCAAGGTAGTCGGTCAACCCAGCAGCAAGACAAGCTTTGTGGTTCTTGGCGATGATGCCGGACCCAGCAAACTGGCAAAGATCAAGTCCCACGGCATCAAGACGATTGATGAGAATGGCTTGTTTGACCTGATCCGCAAGCTTCCTGCATACGGAGGAAGTGGCAAGGGAGCACAGAAGGCCCAAGAAAAGAAGAAGGCTGAAGAGGAAAAGGTGAAGAAGCAAGTCGCAGAGATGGAGGCGGAGGAAAAAGCTCGAAAGGCCGAAGCAGCCAAGGCTGCAAAGAAAGCAGCAGCAGCTGGAGGGCCGGCAGCCGGAAAGGCACCAGCAGCCGCTCCTCCTGTGCAACTGCTGACATCCAAGTACGCGCCAACACAACTCAGTCACATCTGTGGCAACAAGGCCCAGGTCGAGAAGATTCAGAACTGGCTCAGAAACTGGCCAAAGTCTAAAAAGTACAACTTCCAGCGACGAGGCGCTGATGGTATGGGAGGCGAGCGTGCTATTATCATTTCTGGACCCCCTGGAATCGGAAAGACGACAGCTGCGCACCTGGCGGCCAAACTCGAAGGATACGATGTCCTCGAGAGCAACGCCAGTGACACTCGCAGCAAGAAGCTTGTCGAGTCTGGAGTCAGTGATGTCATGAACAATACGTCACTTCTTGGCTACTTTGCTGGCGATGGCAAGGATGTTGACACCACCAAGAAGAAGATTGTTCTCATCATGGACGAGGTGGATGGTATGTCTGCGGGTGATCGTGGTGGTGTTGGCGCTTTGGCCAAGTATTGCAGAAAGACAGAGATTCCCTTGATTCTCATCTGCAACGAGCGAAAGCTGCCAAAGATGAAGCCCTTTGATCACGTGGCCTTTGATATTCGATTCAATCGCCCAACCGTGGATCAAGTCCGATCCCGCATCATGACCATCTGCCACCGAGAAGGCCTGAAGCTGCCCCCTGCTGTGGTGGATGCCCTCATTGAGGGCAGCAACAAAGACATTCGACAGATCATCAATATGATTTCGACAGCGAAGCTGGACCAGACCAGCATGGATTTCGACCAGAGCAAGGCCATGTCCAAGGCCTGGGAGAAGCATGTCATTCTCAAGCCATGGGATATCTGCCAGAAGATGCTCGCCGGTGGGCTCTTCGCGCCCGCGAGCAAGTCGACCCTCAACGACAAGATTGAGCTGTACTTTAACGATCACGAGTTCAGCTTCCTTATGATTCAGGAGAACTATCTTCGAACAAAGCCCATGGCTCTTAACGGAAAGGGATACACCCAGCGAGAGTACAACCTCAAGGCGCTCGAGCTTTTTGACAACGCCGCGGAAAGCATCAGCGACGGAGATCTAGTCGACCGCATGATTCATGGCTCTCAGCAACATTGGAGTCTGATGCCGACTCATGCGGTTTTCAGCACAGTCCGACCAGCGAGCTTTATAGCGGGTCAGCTGATGGGCTCCAACTTTACATCTTGGCTTGGCAACAATAGCAAGTCTGGAAAGCTGGGCAGATACATCCGCGAAATCCACTCTCACATGCGGCTGAGGTCTTCGGGCGATCATCATGAAGTTCGCCAGCAATACCTGCCCGTTCTTTGGGATCAGCTTGTCAACCGACTGCAGCATGAGGGCAATGATGCCGTTGGAGAAGTCATTGACCTCATGGATAGCTACTTCTTGACCCGAGAAGACTTTGACGCGATTCAGGAGCTGGGCGTGGGTCCAATGGATGAGGAGCGAGTCAAGATTGAGACCAAGACCAAGGCCGCTTTCACTCGAACGTAAGTAAACACTCATGACCTATTGATAAGTACAAAACTAACGTGGACTCTTTAGTTACAATGCAATGTCCCATCCTGTTCCTTTCATGAAGGCCAGCAACGTCGTGGCGCCTAAGGCTCAGCCCAAGGAGGTTCCTGACCTGGAGGAGGCTGTCGAGGACGATGATGCAGATATTGCTGAAGCGCCCGAGGTTGACGAGGATGATGACGAGATTGATTTCAAGAAGGACAAGTACATCAAACAGCCCAAGGCGAAGAAGGCCACCAAGAAGGCCACCAAGGCGGCAGCCGATGACGATGACGGAGAGAAGCCGAAGCGAGGCCGGGCCAAGGCCAAAGCTACAGGAACCAAGGGCAAGGGAAAGAAGTAATGGGATAATTAGACGGTTTTTTTATTGAGGCAAGGATGTCTGATAGTATCTATCCAGTTAGATGGAGGCGGGTGTTGCAAGTTGCCTGGCCAATAAGGACTCTAGGTGGCACGTGACCAGCATTTGTACGATGACAACAAGGAAAAGGAGCCCAGGGCATCGAGGACTCGGGTTATGTATTGTAATGAAACAAGCTTCTTTAGAGTCTTGTTATTCGCATCGTGATGAATGGTTATCGCGCGTGTTCGTTGGTAGCTGTTAACTTGGTGTTGTTGTTGCTTGACATATCGGGTTGTGCACAGGGCATCTCCTAATGCCGTCGGTCTTCAAAATCGTGCATGTTTATGCCATTATCTCTTCTCTGTTGGCGATGCGTCGTCGCTCGAGCTTGTCTTTCCGTCCTCCTAGTTTCCACTCCAGACGTCTGCAACCTGTTCTATGATGATGTCGCTGATATCTTGACCCCTGAGTGATCAGTCCTCTATTGTCCAACTCAGCTTGACGCGAGATGTTGACATGCCTGTGCGTAGCTATTGAGATGAAGGGGGCTACTGCAGATGATTGAAGTCACGAAGCTGGAGAGGGGCCTTCGTGATGTGGTCGACAATGGTAGTGTTCGGCGGAGTGAACACAAAGGGCGACCTTGGGCGAACACACTTATTCCTCAATACATTCTTACTTCCTTTGATTAGCATGTTCGGATATATGAAACAATGAAAGCACTTTCGTACGTAGTCAAGTCGTCTAAAATGGCGGCATTTCTACAGCTTTGGCTCTGCGGCCGTCGAGGGGATGGACGCGAGGGGCTCGACGCGCGAGGGGCAACTAGTCAACACAGGACAACAAGGCCGAGCGGCCGTGTCAACCGCACGTTGCCGTGGTGCCGAATATTCTGGAAGGCTCATCGCCGCAGTGACCGAGTTGTCAACGCGGGGGTGAGCTGCTGGTTGGCTGTGGCGTGTGGTTTAGTAGTGCCCGGCAGCGAGCAACCCCTCGAGACAGACGCAAGAGTTTCTCACACGCCCAGCACGACCAGCACGCCCGTCGAAGGGCATCTTAGCAATGAGGGAGTTGTCAAATCGAGGGCGTGCAGCTGATTGGCTACGGCGTGTGGTTAGTGAGTGATGCCGGGCAAGGAGCAACCCCTATAGACACTTGGGTTTCTAGCACGTCTAGCACGCCTACTGCGCATAAAAGGGCATCATCCCAAGGATCGAGTTGTCAAATAGAGGGGGTACAGTTGATTAACTGCGGGGTGTGGCTAGCGGTGCAGGAGGAAGCAAAGTCCATAGATGCCTGAGTTTCCAGTGCATCCATCACGTCCAGCACGCCCGCGGCCCCAGCAACGCGCGTAGGAGGAAAACAAGCTATGCATTGCAATCAGTAACTGCCACAGAGGGCCCCGCTAAAAAATATTTATACCCCCCCTCCAAACCGCGGCCCCCAATCTTCTTCCCTCAACACCACGCTTTCTTGAATCACAACAACAACACTTGATCATCAAAGCCTCACTTCTATCACTTATCTATCCGCACTTCATCTTATCTTCCTTATATCATCGCTTATTCATCGTCATAGTAGCTGATAGTTATTATCCATCCACTATCGCGACGATGCAGACGTCGGCGTCGTTTCCTTCTGCCCTAGGCAGTCGGATCTCCAACTTTTTGCGCGGTCAACGACCCGATACACGTAAGTCATCTACCTTCCCTGCCTTTCATCATCCTTTGAGAGATATCTCTTCTCACTTACGCGTTTACAGATGATGCTGAATCCAACAACAACACCAACATGTTGTCGCATACTCTGAAGTCCGCCAAGGCTGACCTGCGAAGTAAGTGATGACTCCAAATGCACGCGACTTTATCGCTTTGATGGCACGCTGACCTATATGATAAGAGCGATTCACTCTTTCGAAGGATAAGTCCTGGACGCGTCTCGATGGTAAGTCATTTCATCTCTGTCATCCCCCTTGGCCCCCCTAACCCACTTCGCAACAGAGTCAAAGCCTTTGGTCTCTTCCGAAGGAACAATTTCTTCGAAGTCTACAAAGCGTTCTCTTCTGAACACTATCTTTGACACCAAGTCTGGACGCAAGCTCCACAAGCGGGCGCGTTCCGATCCCACTCCCCAGGGTGATGGCACTGATCAGCTTCCTGAGCTCGAGCTGGTCCTTCAGCCCTACGAAGACGCCAGAGTCTTCAGTGTTGGTACAAACCAAGCTCTTGATGCCGTCTACACAGCCACTGTAAGCTCTCGTGAGTATTACACTTGCACGAGCGGTTCGTATGACACTTCGTACGAGATTGACGAGTGGTCGATCTCTGATCACGGCACCGTCCTCATTCGACGCCCAGCGGGCTTTCACCCCACGCGATCCCCTTCACTCACGAGTTGTGCCACTCACTGTACCATCTACGAAGAGACCCCTACCCCAGAGACTGAGGCAGAGTGTGTCTCTGACGTCGGCGTTGCCCCTTTCGACGATCTCATTGGATCGGTCAACAAAGAACTCCCAGTTTCTTTGAACCCAACACAGATTGTACACACTGAGGCCTAGAATGCCGAAGTGCAAGTTCATGAGAATGTCGCGGATAACCTCATTTCCGACAGTGATGCTCACGACAATGAGCCCACCCACCCTGTCCAGGAATCGTCTGGCACCCACAACACCAACGTGGGAATCACTGACAACAACCTTCGGGCGGGTTTCACCCAGCCAGTTTCCATGGCTCAGATCAACCGAACGATGTCGAAGGTCATCAATGGTCGAACTAAGAAGAACATCATCCTCCGTCCTATCAAGGAGCTCCGTCGCATGCGCAAGGTTGTCTCGGGATCTTCTAAGAAGATCCGAAAGACTGAGCACGATGCTCGCCGACTTTTCCTCGCTGCTAACAACGCGACCACTACGACTACTGTTGATGAACGTGACAACGCGACTCACACTCATGAGAGGCAAGTCCCCCTTTGATGACATTCACTTGGGTCACTTGAAGCTAACACTTGACAACAGCATTGCTGAGCTTCATGAGAATGATCGTGATGCCATTGACGGCACTCATGTTGATGATGATGCCATGAACCAATCTCATGCCGGTGAAGAGCCATTCCACCAGAGATCTGCTCATGAGTCCGATGACACCGAAAGCATCGACTCCATCCAAAACAACCTTGATCAGTGCAACGTGATCCTCGCTGCCTACCAAGGCGAATACAACCAACTCCAGCGTACTCACTCGACGCACACTGATGATCTCCCTGACACCATTCGAGGTGAGTATCCGCCCTGACCCCAGCACAACACATGCAGATTGCCTAACTCACATCTTGCAGGTACCAATGATGCTGAGTCTAACGACGACAAGACCAACGTCAACGATCCTCGCCCTGAGCTCAAGAACCTCGAGTTCGCTGCGGAGAAGGCGGCTCTTGAGCCGTACGCGCAGGCCTGTAACCACTGGGGAGACCCCAGCATCAACCCTGATACTCTGCGACAGGTGAGAGACGCTTCCTGCCAACTGACCCAAGCTCCCCCCTTTTGATTGGGTTGCTAACACATCCGCTTGCAGGGATATGATCAGCACCTCGAAGCTCTGAATCGAACCCAATCTCGCAAGTTCGTCAACAATTGGGTTCAGGACAACACTGACCGCTTTGCCGGCACGAAGTCCGCGGACGCCCAACTCCCGCCTACCAACCCACCTGAGCAGAACACTACTGACGCTCAGAACATTGATCGTGATCTTGACTCACAGGACGAGCTGGCAGAGGCTATGTATCATCCTCAGGCTCGCCACGTTGCTGGACTTCACCCACACGAGGCCATTGACGAGCATCACCGGCTCAAGAGTTCTCTTGGTCACAGAAATGATGAGGAGACTAGGCTTGACCGAGACATAGATCAAGCACGAGAGCGCATTGACGCACGCAGCGCCCAACTTGAGCATTTCTATGCTCTCATACGCCAACTCAATGAGCAGAACGAGGCCAAGGCCGCCCTCCGACGTGAGGCAATCTACCGCAAAGTCTCGCAAACCCTGAAGACCATTGGAGCTGAGCTTACCCAAGCTATGGCTCGCTGCGAGGAGAAGCGCGAGCTCTACCGCGAGCTTCTCTATCGTGAGAAGGCTCTTGTCGAGGCAGTTCAAGACGAGGCACGACACCTCGGTCTTGGTAACCATACTCCTAACGAACTCGTGTGGGCAGTTGAGCAACTCGTCGCTGGTGACAGCCTCGAGTATGTTGAGGAGTCTCTGAACTCTTGTTTCTGAGCGGGCTCTTGTGACAGCTTAGCTCTACTCACGGATGAAGGAGATCATCTTGACAACAAACAACAACAACAACAACAACAAAACATGAGCTGCCGACTCGAACCTTTTGATCCGACTCCACGACACCATATCACATACATACTGAAAAACAGTCTGGATTTCTACAACCTCTCCACATCGATTCTTACACAAACGCAAACAACTTTTCTCCTCCATCATCAGAGAAGAAGAGTCTTACCCAGAGATCCCCTTGAAGGGACACACAACAAGACCCAACACATCATCGTCACGACACGGATATTACTGCTCGCTGAAGGAACAGCTTGAGCACAGTCACTGACGAGAACATCACACTTTGTCTTTTTCACTGATTTCACTGCGAGTTCTTTCCTCATCTTTCTTCTCCTCTACTCATCTACACTCGACAAGAGTTTTCGGTCACACGACCCGGGCAGACTACACTGCACCATCGGATAGGGAGGTTCTATTTTCACATTGCATCGCGATCTTGTTTTTTTTCTTTTACTCTGCGATATCACCGGCATCATAGACATGCACGGCAACGGACTTTCAGGGTTTGTACACATTCAGGGATTATGACATACGGAAAAGGGCAACGGTTTTGTTTGGCATTGTTTTTTTATGGCCCAGATTTATGGCATTTCATGTTTACAGGGAAAAGGGCATTCAGGGAACGGTTTATGATGAATAGGGCAGCCAGGGAAAAAGGCGCCCCGGAAAAGGGTTTATTATGATATTACCGATCCAGGGGGACGATCGAAGACTCTAAAAGAGTATGAATTTATGACTTATGACATCTCAACATCTTGATGACTTTTCTTGTGACCATGAACTGACTCTTTTTCTCCAACTTGATCAAATGTCTTTGTTGTCATCACCATCACAGTGCAATCATCTCAGTCGTAATCATTCCTTATTGTAATCATCTATCTCATTCGGGGTATCATGACAATCCGTGCCCATCAAGCTTCTTGCTGCTTCTTTGTCTCGTGCTCCTCTTCAGAGTCCTCCTGATTCTGCTTTGTTTCTCCATCACCTTCGGCTTCGCCCTCCTTGTCCATGACGTTTTCGAATTGCGACCACAACGCCTCGACCGACGAGAATTCGTTGCCGACCTGCCCAGTCATCAGCTACATGAACTTCAAAAACGACACCCTTCTAAAAGAGTGTAGAGTCAATAAAGAACTTACAGCGATAACAGCCTCCAGGGATCGATTCAGCTTGTTGATGTTGGCGAGCACATGCTCAAAGCTCTGCCCGACCGTTAGTCCCGTCGCATGCCAACAGTACCAGGCGCATACCATGGCAATCTCGCCGATGAGGGCCTCTCGCTGCTGCTCAAAATACGTCTTTTCGTGCCCGCCCATTGCGGACGCAGACCGAGGATTGGAAGCCATCGTCAAAGTTGTCGTTAAAAGGTTGTCGCGTCTTTGTACGAAGCATGCATGATCCAAAGCGCGCCTAGGGTTGGCGGGGTTCAAAACGTAAATAGTGGGGTCGGCTCATGCCCAGCCCAGCTCACCCACGCCAAGTTTCATGACAAAACACCAAAAGCAATCATGACAAGTCCAAGCACTTGAAGCAAGTAGCTAAAGTCAATAATAAAACAATGTTATCAATGTCTAGAAAATGAGCCTACAACTCAAAATGCATACAATGCATACGCAATTCCAGATGGAATAGAACCTTGGCCACCAATCCAATCCAATCAATCCATCCTCCCTGTACGCCAAATATCACACATCACGCCTTGCTGGCGGATAATATCTACCTATGTAATCATGCAACTAAAACCTCCAATGGTAAGATCCTTCACCTCCGGTACTGATCCTGGTGCCTATCATACTCGTGTGGCCTCAATCCCCTCATTATATCACGAGGATCTCGTCCATCTCGTGGGTCTCGAGGATCCCGGGCATCTCTCATCTGCATATTTTGCGCCTCGTGGCCTGGGTAACCAGGGCCCCCTGGCGGAGGTGGCCCACGGTTGTCATACCCGCCCACTGGTGTGTAACTCCGACCCGGCATATCTCTAGGATCTCGCGGCGGAGCAGGGCCTGGGGTAGAAGCATACCGTGGGTACGCCTGTGAAGGAGGTGGCACTGGCTCCGGTCCACGACCAGGCGGCGGGTATCGCCCCTGCATTTGATGTTGCTGTGGGGGAAGTCCACCTCCTGAGCTATAATACGGGCCTCCACGTCCATCGTCTCTCATGGGCATGTGGTGAGGCGGTTGCGGTGGTGGCTGTGATGGGGCCCATGATGGAGCAGGCGTCTGAGGCTTGGATGCCGGGTGCTGTGTTGGCCAAGATTGTTGCGACGGCGGCGGTTGGGAAGTGTTCGGGGGCTGTGATGGCCACCCTGTCGCCTGTTGGAGACTGCCTGGCGGCTGTTGGTGAGGTGGCGTTGGCCATCCACCATCACGGCTACTCTGAGGAACCTCTCGCGAGCGAGACGCCGACGGATGTAGCGCGTACTGTCCACCTGGTGATGCAGTGTGAGGGGGAGGAGCTGCGGCACCATATGACGTAGGATACCCCTGGCCTTGATACATCTGGCTGGGTGGACCAGGTGGAGGATAACGATGGCCGCTCTGAGGCGAGTTTGTCCCGCTTTGAGAAGTTGGCTGGTACGGGTTTTGCCTGTAAAAGTCTCTCTCTGCCGCGGCAGCCTCAACTGAGACCCCGATTGAAGCCCTCGAAGCTCCCATGTGCTGGGGCTGAGGAGAATCTGTATAGGTGGGCTTGAGTGAAGGCATCGCTGAGGCTCCTCCTGATGGTGCTCTTCCATAAGGTGAGTATGGCTCCGGCTCCCGACGCATCTGCGAAGGCGCTGGCCCCGGCCCAGGGAGAGGGCGGCCCATGACTGGAGGTGGTGGTGTAGGTGAAGGCCTCATAGGCGTGCTAGCTACATCGCTGATGCGCTTGGGCGCTGCCGGTGGAGGATCATCGTTGAGCAGCGAAGAAATATTAAATCCTCCCTTACGAGGCTCTGATGGACGAGGAGGTGCCGCCACTGGAGTTGGGGTCCCTGCCTGAGGCGTTGTTGAGCCGTAACCCTCCTGCAGCGAGCCAGATGACGGCCTGTGTTGAAGTGACGAAACGGGCCGGCTGGTGGGCGTTCCCATCTGAGGAGACCGGACCTGCGGCTGCTCGCTGAGCAAATTCCTCACAGGCTGCGCAGGAGGCTGCTGCTGTGGCGGTTGCTGTTGCACAGGCGGAGGAGCATATGTCGGAGGTCGGCCTACCTCTTGCGGTGGTGGTCTCGCAAGAGGTTGACCACCAAGACTTCCTTGCTGTCGATGGCCAAACTGCTCGTAGTGATGCGGTGGAGGGGCGACTTCCGGTTCTTGCTTAACCCGCAATGTCTGCCGCTCCGACTGCTGGCGCGCCATCTCTCTCTCCCTCTCCCGTTCTCTTTCTCGTTGTTCCCTCTCCTGCCGCTCACGCATCTGCATTTCTGCCTTCTGCCGCTCGATTTGAGCGTTGTGCTGTTCAAATATGGCATCCGTCCGTGTCGGCTGCAGGGGCGGTTGTGCTGCAGCCAAAGGTCGCTCGCGTGGCTCTGCAACGGGAGGGCCAGAGGGCGCCTTTGGAGGAAGCGGCACTCGCTGGCCTTGTTCACGCTCTCGCTCGGGGAACCCAAACTGCCGCACAGGAGCTCGTAGAGGTCGTGCGCTAGGTGACATTGCCTGAGAGACAGGCTGGGTGGCAACAGGGTGTTGTTGCATCGCCAAGGGCGGTGCTGGTGGTTGAACAAGAGGTTGCTGCACAGGAGCCTGAGCAATGGGCACACCATAGTTGGAGAACGGCTGGCCTCGAGTAGCTTGAGCAGCCGCCTCCATCTTGGCGGCTTGGACTGCTTCGTTGTGAAGCTCGACACCAGGAGCAACGGCAAGAGGTCGAGACGCCGCAGCTGAGTTGTCGTATCTTCTCCCACGACCTCCCTGTGATGGCTGAGGAGGATCAGGCAGCTTCTCGCCACGGTTCTTCTTCCTGTCGGCCTCTTGAACGATCGTCTCCCATTCAGCCTTGCCTTGATCCTTTTGGCGGACAAAGTAGTTTTTGACCTATTTCAAATATTAGCATGCATCAACAAGTGTGACTCAAACATGTGGAACTTACCATGACAGCGGTCTTGGACCCCATGTGGGCCGCGATCCCAGTCCAGTCAGATCCAAATGAGCGCAGTAGGTGTGGGAAGTCATTAGATTCAGACACACTCCAGTAACTCGATGCTTGGGTCGGCGCCTTGCGCTCTGGCTGAGGCTGGGCCAGGTTGAATGTGGTAATGGCCGGCTGGGGTGGAGGCTCGGGTCGAAGCGAAGGCGCTGCCATGACCTCCGAGATTGAAGAGGCAGCAATAGGCTGAGGGCGATCCATGGTCTGTATGGGCGGCTGCTGTTGAACTGGGAATGGCGGTTGTATACCCGACGGCTGTTGCTCGAATTGAGTGGGGAGGCGATGAACCTCGGCTGGCGCAGGGGGTTGTGTCTCCGTGTTGAGGGCTCTCGAGTTGGACCTTGAGCGGCCCTTTCCGGGGGCTGGAGCTGCAGCCAACGTTTGGTTCGTCTTGTGCGCTTTCGCATCTTTGTCCTTAGCTTTGCGTCCGCGCTTCCTCCCATCAACCTTCTCTGGATGGTCGCCCTTAGCCGACGCTCCACGTCTGCCAGGCGTGGCGGAAGGTGTCGAGTTGTCTGTGTCCACAGCTGGTTGTTCGAAGCCCCATGTTGGTGCAGCGGCTCGCCTAGGCCGTCTTCTCTCTCCGTTTTCTCCAGTCTCGTGGTTCTCCTCCGTCTCGCCCTCGGCGTTGCCAAGTTCAGAAACGAGTGCACTAGATCGCTGCTTGCCTCGGCCACCCTTCTTGCGCCTCCTGGGTTGCTTCTTGAGTTTCTCCTTCAGGTTCAGGTCCTTCTTGTTCATGTAGTAATACTGAATGCAAGCGGAAAAGTCGCGATGAGGGATGCCATCCGCCACTCTG